TTCGGTTCGACTTTATTTCCTGAAACCAAGTTCAAGTTCGGTTCGGTTCGGTTCAGCTTAGATTTCATATCACAACAAGAAAAGCTTCTAAATTACACTGCGTCTGTACACCCTAATTGTATGATAAGATCAGTCGTCCAATGTGTAAATAGTGATTCATCTTAAACTGTAACAAGCATCTCAGTGTCTATTCAAATATTTTAAATTTATCCTTTTATTCTTTATTCACATAAGAATAACAATAACAAGTTGAACACTAGAAAAACACAAAATCATACAGAATAATACGACAAAAGAATATAGAAAAGTAAATATCTGTGAAATTATATTTGCCTTTTAATATTTTCTATTGAACGAAGAAAAATTATGTCATTAATTGTGCTGGGTTCAAGATTAGATCGACGCTGTGTGACTATCTGGCCAACTGCGCTGAACTCGCGTTCAACGGCAGCAGAACTGCATGGAATAGCAAATATTTTCTTTGCAAGTTTTAATAAATGAGGAAATGTGGATTGATGCTATTGCAAAAATGTAAGTGGATTTGTGTAAATTTCATCATCTTTAAGTTGTAAATCAATGTAAGCATCAACTTCATCCTTGGTTTGTAGTACTACTGGTGACGTTATATCAACCATTAAGGATTCTAAGAAGCGTTTCGGTTTCTTTTTTGGTGGCTCATTAATATCATTATCATCATTGGTGTTTGAATATGTTGATGTTGATAATGTTGGAATTGCCAATCGACATGAAGTATGACATTCGATTATTTGCATTTGGGTATTATGTCTTAATTATTTATAATTTGGATGTAAAAATGTTCCCATAACGTGCAAATTTTCAATTTTAAACATGGATTCCAATAAATGTAATGATCGTTTAATGAAGAAACTCATACCTAAGCATAAAGTAGGAAAAGAAATCATAAGAATATACTATGTACATACATAAAACAATCGATCAAAGGTAGCTTGAACATTGTCAACAACGCATATTTTTACGAAATGGATTATAGTTCAACTAATACCAGTCCGATTCGGTTCGACATCATTTTTCAAGAAATGGTTCGAGTTCAGTTCGGATTCATTTTTCAAAAATCAGTTCGGGTTCGGTTCGTTTTCGCTCTCTGGTATGTCACAATTGGCCATGTCCGTATTAGAAATGGTCATTACTCTGGCATAAATTACCATTTTAGTCGTTATAATGAATTAAAGCATAAACCCTATCATATACATTAGCATCTTACAATATTTTATGCGAACTGTTTGAATATATCTATGATGTGTAATATAGAGCATGTTATAAATATTAATGATTCCTCCTAAATTCATCATTATACAGAGTTCATTTTCATTTAAAAATATAAGAGCATCTTTGCTATCATTCCGTCAGTCTGGGACCAAAGGAATCGGCATTCAATGTCGATGAACGTTACTTGTTTTTTTAGAGAATTTTATTTTGTTATGTTTTTCCCAAAATGAAATGAATAGTACTGAATTAAAATTGAAATAATTAAAGCCCATAGCATGCACAAATAGTTCTGAAAAGAGAAAATAGACTGAATTTTTCATTTAAGTGAGTGCGGCACTTTTTTATTAGTGATTTAGTTGAGATGACGACTCATGATGTATGTAGCATTAACTATGCTTACCATATGGTCTTTATTCATCGTATTAAAAAATATTTTTTCTCTGTGTTGTGAGAAGAAAATTTCATTATTGAAATGAAAATTATCTCAGAAAATTCAGCTTCCATCACAGTTCTATAATTTTAAAAGTAACGCGTTGCATACATCGGAATCATTTGATGCATGTTTTTGCCTTCTTTTCATACTCCATGATGTTGTGAAATGTAATAAATAAGGAATAAGTCATGACCCACGAGTTAGGATGTCGACTATGGAACTCCTTTCGACAAATCAATATATTTGAGAATGGTTCGGACGATAGGGATACCATTGAGCATCAAAAATTGTCTACAAGCATCTATATAATTTCAATATTTATTTTACTAGTTATTGTTGGTATTTTTGCTTTATTCATTGTTCATTCAACAAATGAAAATGTACGCTTATTATCTCTAAAACAGTTTGAAACTATATTTGAACATTATTCTTCAACAATCACATGTCCATGTTCTAAACTTGCCATTCCATATGGGGCATTTACCAGCGTGAAAATACAATTTCATCAAGTCTGTCTTAGTCTATTTACATCACAGACATGGATTGATTCAATCTATGTTGATCGAAAATTTTCTTCAGTAAAATTAGAAAATAATTTTCTTTCCACTCTCAGTGCTTTCTGGCAAATAATTGCTGGATTTTGCGAGTTGAGCAATACAACAATAAACAATGGTATTGCTCAATTCAATGTTACCACTCTCCTGAGTCCGATGGCAGTCAATCAAAATATGGTTCGAATTCAAAGTCGAGTCGCTCTTACCACGATCATCTCAACTGTTCGATCTACACTCATTCGTAATTTATTGGCAATTGAACGTATAACAGGCGGTAATCAACTTGTCTCTGGATTAGCAAAGAACTTTTACGCACACTTCACATCAGCAGAACTTCAATCAAATTCAATATTATCTGCTAGAGCATATGCTAATTGCTCCTGCTTAAATACAAATGGATGTCCTCATCCAGCAACATTTTACTACTCAGCGAAAGAAAGTTCGATACCAATACCTGGAATGCAATCTGATTGCTTAATAGTTGATGCTGTACTAAATTCTTCTTTGGAATGTTATTATGATCGAACTTGTGTTAATAGATTACATCCAGCAGTAGTCAATATTGAGCCGCTCAAGATGAACATCAATGTAAATTTTAAGCCGAATTCGACAATTCAACAACTTCTAGATAATTTGATGGTTGATGAAATTTTTGTAGATATAGCCTTCGACAAATACTTCACTCAATGCAATCCACACCATTGTTCATACGTTAGGTCTCGTCGATTCGATATTAGTTTTGCCACCAATATTATCATTGGGGTTTATAGTGGACTATCCATCATCTTAAATTTAATTGTTCCTCTAATTGCAAAATATTTAATTCGTTGGCGACAAAGAAATAATCAAAC